ATGGGTATCAAAGCTGTGAACGATCCGCGCGCCCAACGTATGGAGCTAACTACTCCCGATGCAGATTGGATAAAAGCCAATGAAAGTGGGTACACTTTCTATTTGAATATCTTGCTGAATCGACCTAAGCCTCAACGTTCCCATTGTTACAGGAGTTGACGTGACCAGCTCAAATGAAGCGCCACATTCCCATAAGCATCATATGCCTATACATCTTCACCACAAACACAAGAACGTGCCCGAGGTGCACGCGGTAGATATGGTTGACAGAGAAGTCAAGCCACCCCCAGCTGTTCAGGAAGAGAAGACGTCGACATCTTTCAAGGACAAATTAAAGGGTAAGCAAGTTTAAAAAATTCGAAAGCCCATTGTTCAGGATCTATAACGATAATCATTTCAGGTATCGCTTGTATTGGGAAGAAGCATTCCGATGAATAGAGATTGACTTCTTAAATCTCAAGCCACCACGTTAACCACGCCTTCACGTGTCGTTGTCTCCTAGATTTCATTATGTTAAGCCATTTGGTTTTAACCAGACCCTTTCAATATACCCATTAATTCCTTAGCTCTGCTTGCTCCGTATCGACGACGTTTTATGTTGAAATTTTCACCGCCGCGGCAGCTTAGTACTGTGCCTAACTTGCATCGTGAACATCGGCCGCCGTACGTTTTGGGGTAAAGTATGATGTGTTACTATCCAAGGAGTATATTCGGAGTATTGCCCATGTATCCAATCCTATATGTCTTGAAGTAAAAGAAGCGTACCGTTTGAATGTTTTCGAGATTCGCGTCAACCTAGTAACCCACAAGAAAGTAGTACCAAAACATCACCATCACTGGCCGGTTAGCTCAGTTGGTTAGAGCGTGGTGCTAATATTAGACACGCCAAGGTCGTGGGTTCGACCCCCACACGGGCCACATTTTTGCTTGTTTAAGGTGGATCTGCGACTTGGACGGTTTGTGGGTCGAGTATGAAAGCTGGCGGATCCTGTAGAGGTGGGAAACATCGACTACAGTGCTTTTTTTCACCCCATCCACTGTTTACGCTCCGTGGTAGTGATACGTCTACACACACTATTCAACTTCCTATTCGATTGACGTTCAAGAATGAGACGTTTGACTTGCAGCATTGTAGTCAATGTTAGAAAGAGAATGCTTCAAGTTGCGCCTGAAAAGACAAAAAGGTAAGCTGACCCTAAGGTGCCATAGGGTTTGGCTTAAATTGAGGCTAATTCCACATCTTGCGAGTTCATGAGATCCGCCTGGGATGACCTATACCTGACTTTATCCAGTTCATCCAGTGCACCGGTTCAACCCCTCCCAACCCTTGTGAACGACCTTAGTTAATGCAAGTAATCTCTGCGGGTGTCCTCATCTAAATTCTAATGGGAAACATAGGTGTTGCGTGAACGATATGGAACGGTAGCTTGTTCATGGAAGGTAAGGTCTTCGAGGTAGGGACAAAGATGAAACTTTCCATCCATAGGAGCATCCACATGACACTTCAGATATATCTCCACGCTCGTAAATTTGAAGTTTCCGTTGAGATTGGGTGACGAACTGGTGGTGCCTGTATGAAGTGAAAGAAAGAGTGATACGGAGTGTCTAGAACTGTCGACCTGACTTCGAGTTGCTCTTCCTGCTGTTCGATGCTGCAGAATCCCCTTGCCCCTTTCGACCACGAATAAAATAGCCAGCTGATGTTTCTAGTTGTTCCGCGAAGCTCTGTCGGCTATTGATATAGACATGATTGTCTTGATCGGTCAAAGATTGAGGATAGTAGTGAACGTTGTCAGCCATCCAAGGATATGGAATGATCAAAACGATATACTCGGTTCACCTTGTCCATCTCTTCCCGCCTTACATGACATCATTCTAGACTGGCCTGATGTCCTTGAAACATATCAGCAAAACTCCGATGAATGGGATGCTTAGTCATCCATTCAAACATACAGGCGACCTTTCTACGCCAAATTCGAAAACACTCTAACTGCAACAATTTCAAACCGTCCCATGCAAAAAATCAAGAACTAAACTGGTAACTGGTCACTTGATCAACCCACAACTCTTCCAACCCCGCAGAATTGCACACGGGCCACTATAAATACGGCCTGATTTTTCTTACTCTTTCCTTCAAACCTTCCCCACCCTCCGAGTCCACAGGCTTTGCACTCCCGCTCCATGACCAGTTTGTGACGAAGGCTTGCAATGGCGGCGCTTAACTGCTACTGGATGCCTGTCGTGTAAGGTGAGTCTCCCAGCTAGCGAGCCAGGCTCATCCCTTTGTATCAGTATCGGTCTGGGGTGTCCATTCTACTTCCCTTTCGTTCCCTCTCCTCAACTCCATGTAAACTCGAGAGAGATGATGAACAAGGTTACTTCGCTAGAAGCACCAACACTTCACGCAGACCTTTCTTATAGTCGTTGAAGGACTCGCAATACGCTATTTCAACCTTGGCCACCTGTCAGCTCAGAGCAACACTTTCCATAGACTGGTTACCGATACACTCTTGCTCAAGAAACATGGATGACCAGTTCCTCCATTCTTAGTGGTGATCGAGAGCAGGTCTAGGGATGGTCAGCGTACAAACACAAATCCTTACATGTCCCGTAATCACATATGGTCCCAGGCAGGACACTCGGTGTCGTCATTCAACCAGGGTCAAATCTTCAACACCTTCAACCCAGACTCTGAACAGATCCAAGCCAAGTAGAAGCAAGCCAGCAGCAACGGTTGGTTCTACGCTCGCCCTACCTGAATCTTCCATCAGTCAGGACGCAGGATGACAGATCGATGGCAAGAAGACGAGGTTGTCAGTTCCGTCTTAATCAATGCTCGGTGAGTTCTGGCTTCTTCGTGCACATCACTCAGAGAATAAACCAACACCAGGGTCGCAGTTTAGCTCATCCTTCTGGTTGTCTATGCTTGCCAAATATCTACTAGTCCGAAATAAATACCCAGAAGAACATGCCCACCTTTATCGTGGAGGTAGTAGTCCTGGTGGTTGTCTTCACTGTGTTCATCTTATATCTGAATGTGCTGATGACCAAGGTCAGGATGAGGGCACTCAGTTGGGCATTTTAGCCGTTATCCTTCTAGTCCTCTTTTACAGTTCAAACTTTGACATTACATTCAATTCACATTTAAATACAAACGGTTTTTGAAAGTTGAAAAATATGCCACAGCGGCGGCCCTACCGCAAGGAGTGACCTGACGAGAGGACCTCATTCTTCAGTACGAAGTATTAACCAACCCCGAATCGTCTGGTGGGAGCTGATAACTTGGTTGGAAGAAGAAAGGTTGGAGAAGCGCAGTGCTTGTTCTCCGGGTTGAGAGCGTTGGCCAGGTGACCATCCTTGAGGTTGTCATGTTGGAAAGGATTCATGCTGTTACTTATATCATAGACGTAGAAGCGTAGGCGATTTGTGAATGAAGAGAAGGTCTGCATGAGAGGTTGGTTTGGCGATCCCACTCGTTTCGGAAGGACTGAATCAAGGTTTCCTGAGGACAAAGTGGCATCCGTCGAACCAGTAGGAGGCGGTTGGTGGTCTTTACGGAGATTAACTTTCGGATCCAGCGAGCTTGTAGATTCGTTCTTATCGGATATACCAGGTTGTGTATCGGGGACTTGATCGCAGTGGGCGTCTGCTATGACAGGCTTATTGCGAGCCTAAGGTAATGTTGGTGCATATTCAATAGTAGGCAAGTAGAGGGCTAAAAGCAACCTACCCGTAGACGCGATAGATGACCGCCTAGGAGTTCGACTACTTCCCTGTCTTTCTTCAGAGCAATCGACATCGCATTTTCGACGTCCTCC